TATAAATAAAATAATTAAAATAATAAATTAAATATATTTTTTTCTTTTTTCGTGATTTCCTGCGAAACAAAGCAAAAAGGAGCATATGTCTATAGGACTTTTTTTCTTAGTTTTTTACTCCTCTACACGCTCCCGAAGTTTTGCCATTTAATTTGGAAACACCCTGTATAAATGTAGTTTGTACAGCGGTTAAAATGTAATTTTAATCATTGTATAAACTGTATTTATATAAAATGTATAAATATACATACTCTTTTTCACTCATGTCATGCAAAAAACTAAGCCTATCAAAGTGAAGCCATTTAATCTTCTTGGCAGTCGCAAAACCACTCAGCTGTTTGTGAGATTTGCGAAGTCTCCTGAACATATCGGATAATGACTTCCACTTTTTTTTATCTCTTGCACAGTTATTCCCCCTAGATAAAAGGGGGGGAAGATAAAAAAACGTGATGAATACATTTGTAACCGACACGGTCCCATACCTCAATTTAAAAATATTGTACCTTTCATGTTGTCAGCAATCTCTTCCCACAGCTTCTCTTTAGCACGACCATCCCTTTTGTAAATGTGCAATTTAAAATTCCAAAGAGGGAGTCGCTTCCGCACTTTCTCTATGAGAAGTTCCTCAATGCGTATTTTCCGCGCTGGTAGGTTTATCAGACAATCACTGCTGTTCAAACTGTCATCCTCTATATTTCTTTCCATTAGCTCGTCTTCTTCCTGATTAGTTCTCTCCTGCTCAATATCTTCCTGCGCGATTTCTTCTTCGACGAAGATCTCTTGACCTCTAATAAAACTTTTTCGAATGATCGATCCATTATCTACAAAAATATGAATACGTTATTTACCATGTAATATCTGCAGTAATATCATACACTATACTTCCCGCATTGCGGATGCAAATAAAAATTTTTGTCTATGTGATATCTCTGGAATCCTTTCAAGCAGGGATGATTGCGTACCTCATCTGGGTGACAAATTGTTTCACACACACTGCAAGTATATATACCGCAATTTCACCTGACTAAAATTCAAAATCATAATGTCCTCAAATATGTTAGATATATTTTATAGATTATTATAGATTAAACGTTTAAATGTAAATACACGGCTGTAAACATATGCAAATTAATATGATACAATATCTTATCAATTTATTAATATTTTTTATGTAATACTAACCTCATAATCCCCGAGATTGGTGAAACTCATGGTAATTCTTAAGAAGAGCTCACCTCCGATTTCGATTAGGCTCATTCGACGCGTTTTTGCGTAAAATAAAAGAATCCGGCAGAAAAAAGTCAGTGACTGTCTTGCGAAGCGAGATATCCAGCGTTAAAGTTGACGACTATTGAGGTTAGAAAATCTGCCATGTCTTTCATGCTTTTATATCTCATGCGCATGCGTTTTGTCACTTTTCGATTCAGTAGAGTGCACGAAATTTAAAAATTAATATTTCTATAATTGTACTATGCGCCCCTTTAGTCGAAACCTATGTAGACAGAGGAGTGTATGGACAGTAACGCATAGGTTCGGGGCGGCTGGGCCGCCCCGAACGAAAAAAACAATCCTTCACGCTCAGTACCTAACCGCCTAGAAGTTACAGCATAGACAGTATTCGCTTGAAATATTTTTAACCCATGAAGATTGTGGGGCGTGAGAACAATCAGATGTGTCGACTTATCTTTATTATATTTGTCGTATTAGTATTGTACGAAAAATTACTCCGATATTTTTATATCACATTTCTAATTTTCTATTATCAATCGTATCTTTCGTAATTATTTCTGTTTTTCTCCTTTTTGATCCCTCTCAATATCGCGGAGCATTATATACGATTCATTGGACCAAAATCTTTTTCATTGTATTTGTATATTGAAAAAGGATTCTTTTTAAGATGTTCATTACTCCTGAATTAGTGGCTGAAGCCCTTTATCATTTGTATCCTGACCTTGATTTCCATGCATTCCGCAATTCAAAAGATGTTCGTACATTTAAAACTCGTGGTTGCGTATGGAAAATAGTATGTAAATATATAATGCCGACTTGCGTTCATCGCAGAACCATAAAACAAAATGTAAGAAAATGTAACGATGTATTTCGCAAGCATTCCAATGAAGTAGAGAAACAGTATTTCACTCTTCAATTGGAACGTAAATCTGAGAAAGTCGTACAAAAAAATACGGTCCTAAATATCGATAATACCGAAATGACTATTGAGCTTAAAGAGATAGAAGAGAACGATGCTGTTGTTCCTGAAGCACACAGTCCATCTGATCATTCGATTGCGTATTCGAGTCTCGAAATCTCTGACGTACCATATATTATCGAAAATGACTCTACGTCTACTATATCAAACGGTCTACTTAGCGTCACCAGTAGTTTTTCGGGCTCTGATACTTCGCGTGATAAAATCCGAGATGGTTCGATATTAGCGTCATATAAGAAAATGAAAACTAATTTTTCCTTCGAGGACGAACCAATATTAATACCTGCATCATTTTTGGAGCAATATTGGACCAACAAAAGAAGCTTATGACAAGGATGGTGTGATGCGTTTAATGATATTTTTAAAACAAGATATACTTGTTGCATGGTCGTTGATGACGTAAGGTGCTACGCAAACGGTGGAAAAAATTGCAATTATTTTACAGTAAAAGTGCATTGCAAAAATTCATTGTACACAGCCTTTAAATTTATTGTAAAAACACCTATAAGTGCACCTCATGTATCCACATTTGCAACAGTTTTTCGATGTAGCAAAATACGTCACGCTGTCAATGAAAATCATCAAAGATTTCTTAAAGGAATCAAGCGCAAAGAAGAAAAAGAGAAAATGGAACACATTTTCCCGAGCAAAGTAAGATTGGAAATGATGAAACAAGCAGATGAAAACGAACTGAACGTCGGTAATTTAAATAGTGTTCCAGATTTGCAAGTTTTACAACAAATTAAATCTCAGTTTACAAAAAAAAACGATTTGCATCAAGACTTCAATATATTTTTGGATATGCTTACTAAGCAGTTGGATGACAACTGAATCAGTGAACATATCAATGGATTTATTCAATTGAATTGTAAAAAACCATTTCTTGTAGTAACATTTTCAGAAAAATCTCTACTTCAGATCATAAAAGCTACTGAATATGGACACGTATTTACGTATTTAGACGCGACAGGAACATTAATTGATCGATCGATACCGATAAAAGGGTCTATCTGTACTCGCTAATTTTACCAGGTGATGGTGAAAAAGGTCCTTTTCCAGTGGCAGAATTATCTGGATTTAATTCTGGCATTTATACTCTCGAGGTGGGGAAGATCACCATGACTAGTTAATAATTATTCTATATATGTGAGTTTATTAGTTGTCACTGAAGAAGGCTCAAAAATGAGCCGAAACATGTAAGCGCTTTAGTAAAATAAAGAAGTTTCACGCTACGGTAGTCGTGTTATTTGCGCAACGTCTCCCGTGCTTGACTCCTATTGTCCTTGTTCTTTCCTTGTTTTCAAAGTATTAAGTTAGAAATAGAAGAAAACCAATAACTTACGAGATATATTATAGAAATATTTCTCTGGCATAATTGACATGACACATTAAATGCCTTATAAACCATTAATTTTTTGATAATTGTAATATCCTAATACCTTTATGAATAGAATAATGTGATATATCTGGTGTAAAAAAAACATATACTTGTTTGTTTAACAAAATTATTCATTATGCCTAGGTATTTTTGTGATAAAACTTGAAAAAAAGAGCGATCTTCCGCCGATTTCAATATTCTTGACATATTATATATTGTCAAGGTCGTGACCCTAAATGACCTACAGGTTTTTTAGTTGTCGCTTGTTCTTCCTTAAAAAGGTATTATCAGATAAACAATGAAAGAACAAGGGCAGTAGGAGTCAAGCGCGGGAGATGTTGCGCAAATAACACGACTATCGTAGCGTGAAACTTCTTTATTTTACTAAAGCGCTTACATGTTTCGGCTCATTTTTGAGCCTTCTTCAGAGATAACTAATACATTCA